CCGCCGCCGCCGCCGCTGCCGCCTTTGTCTGCGCTTCCTCCCCCGTGCCTGCGAGCCAGCTCCCCGGCCTCTTTTGGAAAGCCGCGCTGGGCGGGCTCCGCTGCCTCGCTGCTCGCCCCGGTGTCTCGCGCTCGCCGCTCTCGCTCGCCCTGCCTCCCGTCCCGCCCGCGCTCCCGCTCCGTCCCCCTTCCTCCCAGCGCGAGCCAAAGATGAAAGACAAGAGGGGAGAAAGTTAACGAAATCGCCCACATGCGCTGCATCAGCCCGAGGCTTTGGGAAAGGAATAAAGAGAAGGTGGGAGAAGAGAGTTTAAAGTCTTGGCAGGCGGGAAAATGGCGGACTCAAGCTGAAAGTGTCAGTTGGCAAACTTGGGCGATCTTTGTGTTTATTTACGATCCTCTTGACCCAGATAGGACACATGCAGGCCAAAAAACGCTACTTCACCCTGCTCTCGGCTGGCACTTTCGTCGTCCTCCTGTTCTACTTCGGCGGCTTGCAGTTCAGAGCATCCAGAAGCCAAAGCAGGCGAGAGGCGCGCAGTAGCAAGAATGGCTTGCAGCGCCTCAGCCCCGAGCGCTACTGGCCCCGGTTCCCGGACGCGCTGCGCCCCTTCGTTCCCTGGGATCAGCTGGAGAGCGAGGACTACAGCCGGCACGCGTCCCCTCGCCAGAAGCGCGACGCCAACACCAGCGTCTACAAGGGCAAGAAGTGCCGCATGGAGTCCTGTTTCGACTTCGCCCTGTGCAAAAAAAACGGCTTCAAGGTCTACGTCTACCCGCAGCAGAAAGGGGAGAAAATAGCCGAGAGTTACCAAAACATCCTCGCGGCCATCGAAGGCTCCCGGTTTTATACTTCTGACCCCAGCCAAGCTTGCCTCTTCGTCCTCAGCTTGGACACCTTAGACAGAGACCAGCTTTCCCCCCAGTATGTGCACAACCTGCGGTCCAAAGTGCAAAGCCTCCATTTGTGGAACAACGGGAGGAATCATTTAGTTTTTAACTTATATTCCGGCACCTGGCCTGACTACACTGAGGACGTGGGCTTTGACATTGGCCAGGCCATGTTGGCCAAAGCCAGCATCAGTACGGAAAACTTCCGGCCGAAGTTTGACGTCTCCATCCCTCTTTTTTCTAAGGATCACCCAAGGACAGGGGGAGAGAAAGGCTTCTTGAGGTTTAACACCATCCCACCTCTGAGGAAGTACATGTTGGTCTTCAAGGGTAAAAGGTACCTAACTGGGATAGGATCAGACACCAGGAATGCCTTATATCATGTCCATAACGGGGAAGATGTTGTCCTTTTGACCACCTGCAAGCATGGCAAAGATTGGCAGAAGCACAAGGATTCTCGGTGTGATAGGGACAACGCCGAGTATGAAAAGTAAGTGAAGGCGGTTGGCCTCTCCCATCGCCTTTCTTTGCACACGTGGCTGGGGTAACAGTGACAGATTAATGGCTTGCAAATGTTCCATGCAATTCTCCATCTCGCTCTCTTCCTTTTTGTCTTTTTTTTAAATATGCTCCAGCTAAATCATAGGCTTCTTGGGCCTGCTGGGTGTGTAGTGATTTATTTATTTGTCTCCCTTATTCCTGATTCTCGGGACAAGGGTTCAGTTCAATGGTAAGCTTAAAAAGCAGGTGCAACAGTGCAAGTCTGTTGTTGGGGGGGGACAGGGAGCTTGACATCCTATTTCAAGGCACAGATCTGGGGGGGGGGGGCTTCATGTCCATTTCCATCACTTGGGGATTTCA